GTATATCCATACAATAAAATACTATTTGGTAATAAAAAAAATTAAAAAAAAAAGAAACATTGATGAGAGAGAATCATCGATCAGCTGCCTCTTGCACACCCCCCACTGGGGATGTGCCTGCAACCAAGGTACATGCCCTTGCCCGGAATCGAACTCGGGACCTTCCAGTCCGCAAGCTGACACTCTCTCTATCCACTGAGCCAAACCCGTCCCGGCTGATGTGGGTTTTTATCCAGCCTCGGCTCAGAGTGGTGCATCCCTGCGGGGAGGCCACTTGCCTCTGGAGGTGACCAGCTGGCCATCCTGGCCTTCCTCGCTGACCGACAGGGGCGGAGCCCTCCCTGAGCAGGGTCAGCATCCCCAGGGCTCCAGCTCTGTGGGACCCGGGGCCTGAGTTGTCGGCTGGTGCCCCGTGTCAGGTCTCTGATGCTGCCCCCTGTGCCTCTATTTCCCCATGTGGACAGGAGCGAGGGGAAGCAAACAGAGGGAGCTAATGTGTGCTGGGCATCTGCTCTGTGCGGGCTCCACTGGGGCTGAATCTCCCTTTTTCTACCCGCCAGCACTGTGCTGGGCGAGCCCGTGGATAGGGTCCCGTCCTGTGGTTCTCCGCTCTGCAAAATCCTAGGGTTAGGCGAGGGAATGTTCAGATGGAGTTCGGGGGGAAGATAGCTCCCCCCCCCCCCTTTGCCTCAAGCAGGTTTTAACTGGATTTAGGAGAACTGGCTAATTTTGCAGTTGAAGAAAAAGGGGGATTTTCTCCAAGTTTCTCCATTTATGAAATAGAATCAGAGGCCCAGAGGAGAGAATCCATTCATTCAAGGCCACAAAGAGAGTCCACAGCTAATCATAGTAAGTCCATCTATTGAGGACTTACCGTGTATCGGCATATGATACACGTATGTTCTCCCTCCTCAGAACAAATCACCCATATCACAATTATTGTCCCCATTTGGCAGATGAGAAACCGAGGAACAAAGAGGTGAAAGGATCATAGATCCAGGAAGTGGCAGAGTGGGAATTTGAAAGCGGGGGTGGGGGGACCTGCCCCTTCCACCCTGAACTATGGCACCAGACTGCGTCTTGCCGGGCTGCCTCACTGAGTGGTTGGGCTGGGTCATCCCCACCTGTCTTAGTTGGTCCCTTCCTCCATCTGGCCCGAGCCTCTTCTGACCTAACACACAGCCCTGGCCGACTGAGCCAGCCCCCTGTGGGGTGGGGGAGGTGGAATGGAGCCTCCGGATGTACCTGTATTGAGGCCTCGGCTCCGGCTCCGGGGCTCCGGGGACGGGACGTGGAGGCTAAGTGAGGCCTCAGTAAAGGCTGGGAGTGATGGAGGCGGAGGAATGCCAGCCACCCAGATGCATGCTTGCCCTTGCAGATCTTGTGCAGGACCTTGGCGACATCCCTTTCAACCTTCAGGAACCTCATCTGCAAAATGGGCCTGGCTGTCCCTGTCTCGTTGCTTCGGAAAGGAAGGTTCTAAGGAGGCAGCCATCCTGAAGATGCTTTTCTTTTTCTTTTTCTTTCTTTCTTTTTTTTTTTTTAAAATGTATTTTTATTGATTTTTTACAGAGAGGAAGGGAGAGGGACAGAGAACTAGAAACATCGATGAGAGAGAAACATCGATCAGCTGCCTCTTGCACACCTCCCACTGGGGATGTGCCCGCAACCAAGGTACATGCCCCTGACCGGAATCGAACCCAGGACCCTTTAGTCCTCAGGCCGACGCTCTATCCACTGAGCCAAACCGGTTTCGGCTGAAAATGTGCCTGGGAGGACGGTGTGGTTCACTGAGCAGGTGGGGACAGAGGCAAGGTCAACATGAAGACAAACAGGCTGTAAACCCGGCTTCTCTCCTTCCTCTGGCGTGCGGTGTGTGCCGGGATGTGCCAGTCCTCTGTGGCTTTCTGCTGACTTTGGCACAGTTGGCGCGCTGGTGGGTGCTCACCATGTAAATTGCTTGCTTCATCATCACTCGGCAGCAAAGGAGGGAGCGAGGCGAGTGTGACAGGAGTGTGGTGGCTCCAGCCCGGCACGCTGTCACCACTGTGGGGTTTCCCCTGTGAGGAACCACAGCTGGGAAGAGCCCATGACCATGACCTAGCCCGTGACCTTGGCGAGTCCCTTATCCTCTGTGCTACATCCGTTACACAGGGAGGCAACATCTCTTCCTACCTCAAAAGGTACTTGTTTCGAGAAGCAAGGTCAATGATGGGCGTGAAAATGCCTTGGAGGAGAAACAGAAAGCATGATACACGCATATGAGCTTCTTGTTGTAACCTTGACCATCCTGCACGTTCTGCTTCTGTTTTTTCTCCCGGCACCTGGCCCTGTGCTAACCTCAGGGATGGCATGCAAAGCCTGGATGAATGGGGACAGGCGGCTGCAGCGTGAAGCAAAGGGAAGCTGGAGACCTGTTGCTTCTGCTGCCTGGGGAGTCAGGCAAACCCCTGACCCTCTAGGGCTTTAGTTTCCCCGTTTGGAAATGAAGGGTCTGGCGGGGTCATTTTTACAGACCGTCTAGCTCTGAGGCCTCTGGAATGGGAATGAACAAAGCTTTACTGGTCTTTCTCACTCATGCCGAAGGCATTTCTCAGATATTTTAGTACATACCCACTCTTAGGCACTGGGAGCCTGATGCATTTTTAAAAAATATATTTTTATTGATTTCAGAGAGGAAGAGATAGAAACATCAATGATGAGAATCATTGACTGGCTGCCTCCTGCTCACGCTCCCCACCCCTCCTTGGCAATTGAACCTGCAACCCAGACATGTGCCCTTGACTGGAATCGAACCTGGGACCCTTCAGTCCACAGGCGGAGACTCTATCGGCTGAGCCAAATCAGCCAGGGCATGATGCATTGTTTTCATAACAGTCCTCTGAGGGACACAGGCAAATCGCTGGTTTCAAGCCACTTCATAGCTGAAATCGAGGTTCAGAGAGGGGCCATGACTTGCTCAGTCACACAGCTAGCAAACCACAGGGTTGGGACTCAAACCCAGGCCTCATCCAAAGGTCACCCTCATTCCATCTGCCCCATTTCTTAGCCCCCCTCTTCCTCCCCCCCCCACCCCCCCAGATGCCTGGTCCCCGGAGGCCTGATGGCTTTTTAAAACAGTTGGGGAGGGGACTGAGCAGACTCCTGTCAGGCAGCCTCTCTCCAGGATGTTATATCACGGACTCCCCTTTTCCCTCCACCTCCCCGCCCCCACCACCCAGCATTTCTAGAATGAAGGGGAGAGTGAACAGGTGGAGCCAGTGGCGACCTCGCCACGGTGACCTAGATGCGTTCCCTAACCTCGCCTTCGGCAGTAGCATGACCTTGGGAGCCGCCCCTCGCCGTGGCCAGGCTGGCTCTGCTGAGCCAGTGCGGTCGCCAAGGGGCGAGCAGGTGCTGCGGGCTCCGGACCAGGATAACAAGCTCTGCTCCGGCACTTCGCCTCCCGGGCTCTGGGGCGGCCCCAGTGCCCCTGAAGGGAGCCCGCTCCTCCGCTCAGAAGCCGCCATCTCTCCCGAGGGCTCAGGGCTGTTGCTGGGAGGGAGGTCCCCGAGGGCAAAGGGCCGGGTATCCCGGGTGAGCCTGGCGGAACGAGGCGCTCCCTTCTCCTCCGGGAGCCGGGCTCCCCTCTCCTCCCCGCCCCGCCTCCGCCCTGGCCCCGCGGGAGCCGCCGGCCCGGCCTCCCCGGGAGGACAGGGCGGGGGAGGGAGAGTGAGTCCGAAGTTGGCCTAAGTGGGGTCGTGGGGGGAAGGGGCGCCCTGGTTTAAGGCTGGCGGGGAAGGTCGTGTCCGCGGGTCCCCTGGTTGCCCTCGGACCTTTTGCCCCGGCACCGGGCCTCCGGGGAGATGGGCTTCCACCTGCCCGTCCCGGGTGAGCGGTCCGCCCGCGCCCCTCCCGCTCCCGGAAGCCCCCCCCCCCCTCCGGGACCCCGCAGGCGGCGGGACTGGCGGTCCGCGTGGAGCCGCCGCGCCAGTACCGGCTCGGGGCCGGCAAACACCCGCGCGAGGGGGGTGTAAGGGGCAGGGGTGGGGGCGGGGGGCCCCGCCGGGCCGGGGCGGGGCTCGCGGGGGGGCCGGTGCCGGTGCGGGGGGCGGGGGCAGGAAGCCAGCCGCGGCCCGGGCCGGCCGGCGGGCCCCGTGACGTCGCCCGGCTGCAGGGAGCTCTCCCCGAGGCCCCGGCCCCCGCGCCGCCTCGGCTTCCTCCGGCCTCGCCTCCCCGGCCTCCCGCTCGCTCTCCACCTTCCCTCCCGGTCCCCCCCGCCCCCTCCGGCTTCTCTCCCTTCCCGGCTCCTCCCCGGCTCGGCCTCCCCGATGCTGACCTAGCCGTCCCCCTCGCCTCCCTCTCCCCGCTTTCTCTCTCTCCGGCTCTTTCTGTCCTTCCTCCTCCTCCTCCTCCCCCCCCCTCCCGGTCTCTGTTTGTCTCCCCGGCTCCCTTTCGGCGGCTCTCTCCCCGCCCCCTCCCTCCGGGCAACCCCCCCTCGTGTCCTCCCTCCTCCCGCCCCTCTCTCCGCCTCCCCCTCCGCCCCTCGCCAGCCCGCCGCTCGCAGCTCCCCAGTCAGCCTCCCGGACCTGCCCGCCGCCGCCCGCAGCACCGGCCCGCCGGCTCCGGAGCGCGCCCCGCTCGGCCCCGCGCCCCGGGAGCTCGCCGGGACCCCCTTCCTCCGGCCCCGGCCCCGCCGCCGCGCAGCCCCGCGCCCCAGAGAGCGAGCGCGCCGAGGATGTGAGTCCTGCTCCCGCCGCCGAGCAGCAGCCCCTCCGCCCGAGCCCGAGCCGCACCGGAGCCGGAGCGCAGCCAGCGGCGGGCGCTCGCCGGGTCTCCCGGGCGGGCCCCGCGCTCCCGCCCCAGCGGCGCCCCTTGCCCCCGCCGGCGCCGCCGCCGCCGCAGCCCGCGGGCCGTCCCGGCCGGCCGCCCCCGGCCCCAGCGCCGCTGACCTGTCCGCCGCGGGCGGGGACGCGGGCGGAGGAGGCGCCGCCGCCGCCGCAGAGCCCCCGGACGCAGCCATGTCGGAGGTGCTGCCCTACGGCGACGAGAAGCTGAGCCGCCTGCAGGACACCAGCAACTTCTTCGGCGCCGGGCAGGGCAAGCGGCCGCCCAAGCTGGGCCAGATCGGCCGGAGCAAGCGGGGTGAGTGGGCGGGACCCCCTCCCTAGACACCCCCTTTCCTCGGGCACCGGCTGGAGGTTGGCGAGGACCCCCCCGCGCCCGGGAGCCCGTGGCGACCCGATGGGGAACCCCTCCGTGCGGAACCGGGGAGCCCGCACTGCGGCTCGGCGCCAGCCGCCGCGGACTCCCTCCGCCGCCGCCGGCTTCCCGGAGGGGTCACCGGGGGGCGTGGCGCTCCGGGCCGCAGCGGGGGCTCGGGCTGCCCTGGGACCCCGCCCGCACCCAAGTTTGCTCCTTGATTTCTACCCCACCCCCACCCCTCTTTGCGCAGCGTATCTCTCTGCGGCTGGGCGGTGGGGTCCCAGGACCCCCCCATCCCCCGGGGACGGCGCGGGGAGTGCGGAGAGAGGACCCTGTTCTTGCGGGGACGTCCGGGCGCTTTGGGGCCCCCATTGTGACTCCGGGGGAGGGCGTGTGCCGAGCCCGGGCGCCGGGAGCGAGGGCTGGGGAAGCCCCGGAGAGACCGGGGCGCCGAGCGGCTCCGAGGGGAGCTCCCGGGGCGGGTGCTCAGGGAGGATGCGGGCGGCGGCCGGGAGACACCGCGACGCGGAGACCGGGAGGGAGCCAGCCGCTGGGGGTGGGGGTGGGGGTGGGAACCGGGATGGGTGAGCCCGAGACAAAGCTCGGGAGAGGGAGCGGAGCGGGAGAGACCGTGAGCGGGGACGCTGGCCTCGGGGAGGGCGGAGAAGCTGCGGAAACAATGGGAGCGGCCGGCGGCGCCCCCGGTGCAGAGAGCGTCCCAGGGACCCCGGCAGGTGACGGTGTGCGGAGAGGCTGGTGGCGGGGATGGGGATGGGGATGGGGATGGGGATGGGGATGCGGATGGGGATGGGGAAGGCGAGGCTGGGTCGGGATGGCGAGAGGCGGAGGACGCGGCGAGAGGCGGGAGAGACCCGGGAGCAGCGGCGGGGAACGCGGAGGGACCGAGGATGCTCCGGGGCGGGCCGCCCGCCGGGACCCCTAGACCCGCCGCGCGCCGCGGGGACCGGCCCCCAGCGTCCGCGCCCCTGCCCCGCACTGCCCCGCCCAAGCGTGGCGACCCGCGCCGCTCTGGGAGCATCCCCAAGGATCCCAGACCAGGAGATCTTGGCTTCTCCTCCTCACCCTCCCTCTTCGGACCCGGAGCCTTCTTTCTAAATGAATGCCCCCGCCCCCGCGGGTGAAATGGGTGGGGTGGAAGCCGCAGGGGCTGCGCGATTTGCGCCCTCTCTCCGATTCCTTTTCTTAGAACGGAGCTGAGACACAGCCGGGGGGTGGAGGGTGGGTGGGTGGGTGTGGGATGTGGGTTTGGGGGGAGGGTTTCAGAGGAAAGCCTCAGAGGGACCCTGGTCTGCTCGCCTGGCCCCCTCCAGTCTCCCCCTGCTCCGGCGTCACCAAGACCCCTGGCGAGGCCCAGCGCGCTCACTTTTCCTTCTCTCTCCCCCACCCCTTTTTTTGCAGTTGTTATTGAAGATGATAGGATTGATGACGTGCTGAAAACTATGACAGACAAGGCACCTCCTGGTATTTAACTCCCCCAAAGACAATGGGTTAAGGGTGAGGATAAGAGTAAGGACGGCGAGAGCGGTTATTGGCAGAAAGAGTGTGAAAGGAGAAAGCACGTTGACGTTTATTACTAGCTTGCTACCTGCGATGGAATCAACAACCTGTGTCTCGAGTCAGGCCGGGAGACAGATGATGATGAGGCGGGAGAAGGAGGAGGAGGAGGAGGAGGAGGAGAAGGCTCTGGGCTCCTCTGCAAAAAAATAAAAATAAAATAAAATTAAAAAAAATAACAAAATCACTATATACACACCTATACAGAAATAAAGTCTCAGTTGCAGCTATTGGTCAAAATTAATATCCATTTCTTTTTATATACAGTGAATATTGCGCAGTTATAGATCCGGATTTTGAGCCACTTTAATAATGAAGCAGCAGCCCCCGGGTGTTTGAGGTGGTGGCAATCTTCGCTGATTTGGCTGTTCCCAATGTTTACATTATTTAGTCTTGCAAAAATAATTCCGTGCACTTGGATGTGAAATGCTGTTCAGTTTTATTTTTTTATGTTGTTATCCTTGGATGTACAAAGAACATACCAGACAATGATCTGTATAGATATCCTGTGTTATTTCGGTCCTCTTTTCAAAGTTACCAGGAATGTGTTGAAGATGAGAGAACTTTTCTAAGGAATGATGGATACGTAGAAAGCATCCCTGTTTCTTTTTACAAATGCATTGTAAAGCTGTGTTTCTTTCTCGCTGCAAGCTATTTGCCCAAGTTCATGCAAATGGATACCTTTTATATGTCAGGAAAGAGAAACAAGAAAAAAAAAAAAAGAAAAAAAATGCTTGAGCTTTTTCTAACCTCTCTCTGCAGTCTATTGGATGAGCAGCCTGTTTTTTTCTCTGATATTGTGTCCGTTTGTTTTCTTTAATGGACTGTAAAAAAAAAAAATGTAATCACAAGAGTGCCAAATATCTTGAAATGCCAAGAGGCATTTTGGTTTCTTCTCTCTTTCTTCGTGCTCTGAGTCCACGTAAAGGAATGCTTTAGAGTGTCTTTCTGTTATTTATAGGGGTTCTCTTAAGGCACACCAGCTGCCTGTTTTGCATGGTATTTGCAAAAATGCCTCATGCGTGAGGAAATCTTCTACCATTTTTTTTTAATTTGTTTTTTTTTTTTTTTTTTTTGCAACTTTGGACCTCAAGAGGTTTCTTCCCTTCCTGTCCCTAATCCTCTTTTCTTAACTCGACATTCTGTATGTTGCACCTTTAACCAGCACACAGGGCTATTTCTCCGATGTACAATAAAAGAACTGTTCCTGTGTCTCATGCCTCTCTTGTCTGCTTTGGTTCTGGGGGGACTTGCTTTTTGCCTGTGAAGCAAAAAGGCAGAGTGGAAGGCGCTGTGGGCTGGGCTGGGCTGGTAGGAAAGACCAGCTGGACAGCAAGTTCAAAGAGCAAGTTCATTCACTGTGTGGATGGTCACTGGGTCTCCCCGCTTCCCGGAGATTCCTGCCGTCCCCGGTGGGTGTGGAGAGAAGGAGGTTGGTGTGGGGGAAGGCAGTCTTGCTAAGAACAGTGTGTGGAGGCTGGCAGACTTGGACTCCAATCCCAGCTCCTTCACTTCTTAACTGGACGGATTTGAACAAGTCTCTTCACTTCTTGAAGCCTCACTTTCCAAATCTGTCAAGTGGGGATCATGCAGCTCCTACCTCCCAGGCTGTTGGGAGGGTTAACACAATACCTAGCACTCGGGATCATATGTCTGTAATCCTTTCCTGAGGGCCACCTGTCCGAAAATGCAGGGCCCAGGAAGAGCTAGCGCCCCCACCCCCACCCCCACCCCCTTCTCCTTCCTGAGTTCACTGGTCCTTGCATGAGGGATGTGTCTGGTCCTCCGGGGTCCACAGAAGCTTCCCTGCGATCACCGCTCAGAAAGGCTCCTTAGGAAAACACTGCTCAGCCCTCTGCGTTCAGGACAGTTAATGACCGTGGAGCAGGCCCCTGGGGAAGGAGGGGCTGGGAGAAGGATTTTGGCTGAAGAACGGCTGTTCTGCATCCAGGAGCCCCAGCGCCGGGAGCTTTTAATGTGTTTGTTGTAAAACTGTCAGCCTGGGAGTCACAACACAGCTCACAGTGACAGGAGCCTGCCTGTGACTCAGACGTCAGGTAAGACAGGCCTTGGGGTGAGGCTGGGGGGGAGGAAGAGGGCTCCAGAGGGCCTGTGGGGGCGGGTGTGTGTGTGTGTGTGTGTGTGTGTGTGTGTGTGTGTGTGTCATTCCCCATTCCCGGGCAGTGCAGGCCCAGAACCCAGGAGGACCCAGCGGAGAGCTGGTCCTATCAGTCATTATGAGGAATGATGGGCACGCTGGAACTGGCAGTGCCAGCAGGATGACTTGGGAAGGAGAGCCTGATTTTTCCAGGCGCCTGCCCCTGTTCCTGAACCTGTCTCTGTTCCCTGCTGACGCTGGAGCATGCCAGCATTTTGGAGCTAATGGGACTTGAGTGATCACCAAGGTTGGCTTTTCCCGTGAGAAGGCCCAGGGGTGCCTCACAGAGAGTGGGGACAGGGTGCACCTCCTGTGTGCCATCATCTGCCAAGATGGGCAGGAGCCATACCGGAAGCTGCTCTCGGAAGGCATAGTATTCACTCCCCGGAGTAATTACTTGATCCGATCAAAGCTCTGTGCAACTTCTAAGTGCTTGCCCTTCCATCCTTTCACATAATCGGCCCAGCAATCCGGAAACCCACCACCGTGACCTCTCCTTAGTCAGGGAGGAAACGGACACACCAAAAGGGCTGAAAACACCACCCTGCATCCACATTCATTAAGCTCTGGCTGTTTACCCTACTCACAAAAGCCCTATGAAGCAGGCGTGATTATCCTGACTGTGCAGAAGCAGCCAGGGCTCAGAGACATTCAGTAGCTTGCAGGAGGTCCCTCAGCTGGTTCAGTCGCTGGGACGGGATTCTAACCCAGAGCCCAAGCTCCGGGATGGGGATGCAGCAGAGTTGTCTGACCCCAGCCCCGGGCTCAGGCTCAGCTGCAGCCACGGTCCTTCAGCCTTAAGGCTCCTTTTGTGGGTCTGTTGTTTTGAGGCTGAGCTCTCTGCTATGCCGCACAAGACAACTGCGGAAGGGATCGGAGGAGGCAGGGCTTGATGTGGTCAGCGAAGGCCCCGAGCTGCCCTCTGCTGGGAAGGGGGGAGCGTGGGAGCCCTTGGCCACGGCTCCGGGTCCATTTTAATAAGTGATGTATTAAAATGTTCCTGCTGGAGGCCGCCCGGTCCGCCAGAGCAGGAATCTCGGCCTGGGAAGTCAGTCCGCCTTTCCGGAGCACTCCGCTCAGCAGAAGGGGACATAAATCTCATACATCCACTCGGACACCAGGGCGAGCGTGTGTGGAGAAGGCACTTTGGGGGCTAGGCAGACATCACATGATACCGAGTGCGGGAGATCTGGGTAGGGAGCAATACATAGGAAAAAGGCCATTTACAGTCCGGGGTGGGGGAGGGTGTGTCCACGCCGCCATGCAGGGATGGAGTATCTGAGGCCGCATCATTCAAACGCCACTAATTGAATGCTTGTAATAAGCATCCGTCTCTTCGGATTCTGCTTCTGTGGCCTGTCCAGGCTGACAGTCGGAAGGGATATCAAAAAGCACCTCCAAGAGGGAAATTGGCAAATTAAGTTTTAAAAGGAAGAGACTTACAAATGACTGCTGTCTGGGGCCCTGCGGACCCCGCGGGAGGGGCAGATGTTAAGGAGGCCGCTGCAAGAGTAAACGGCTGAATGTAGGACTTAGATGGCTTGGATTGGAAACTGCTCTGGTATGCTTTCTAGTTGTGACTTGGGGCCAGTTTCTCTAGCTCTTTGGGTTTCTGTAAAACGGGGGTGATGAAATGCCTGCCGCACAAATAAACAGAACCCCCCTTCTCCTTCCCAGCACAGGACCTGGTGCATAATACATGGTAGCCATCAATATGAACGTATGTGAAGTGCCTACTATGTGCTAAGCGATGGACTTTCAAGACCTAGCAAACAGTTTTGGCTGCACAAAGCTTTTTTGCGGATGGTTTTTGGTAGCCCAGAGCTGACACCCTGGGTACTAAGGGGGCAGTGGAGGAATCACCATAGGGTTGGGGGCAGGGGGAGGAGTCAGCTTGCTCCTTATTATCTCCAACAGCTCACCAAAACCCCCAACAATTTCAACCCTAAGTAAATCTGTGTGCTTGCCCAAAGCAGTGTCAAGAGAAGTCTCTACCCCCTCTTACCAGGTTGTCTAAACTCTTTGCTCTGAAGGAATATCAGAAAGCACCTCCCCAAAAGGGATGGAGGCCCCTGCGGAAGGAGGGGCTGGGAGCAGGGTTTTGGCTAAAGAAAGGCTGATCCACGTTCTTTCCTGCGGGGAAGTGTCAGTTTATTTCCTTGGATGGATGGAGACTAGCAGGTATGACTATTTGCCTAGGAAGAGACAGAGCTTGGCTTTCTGCTTAGATTCCCTCTTACAGATCCCTCTGGAGAGTTTTATTCATTTGACAGGTGTTAACTTAGCACCTACTATGGGCCAGGCCCTGTGCCAGGCTCGTTGGGTATGAAATGGTGAGGAAGTGAGTTTTCCCTGGCTTGAAAATGATGATAGTCACCATGAAAATGAGGTGGGAGCTAGGGGCTTGGATACTCCTAAAGTCAGATCCTTCATGCTGGCAAACAGAGGGAGCCAAAGGGAACTGGGTCTTGGGCTGGTCTGAGATGTAAACATGAGAGCCACTTAAAAAAAAAACACCAAAAAAACCCCCCACCTAAACTTTTACTTTAGAATAGTTTTGGGCTTGCAGGAAAGTTGTAAAATAGCACATCTACCCCTGACCCAGTTTCCTCTATTGTTCACATCTGTCATTACTATGGGACATTTTTTATGACGGAGGAGCTGACATTAGTCCTTTATTACGAACTGAACTCCATGTTTCATTCAGATTTCACTCATTTTTTATCTGTCCCAGGATTTTATCCAGAATACCTCATTACTTTTAGTCATCATGTCCCCTTAGGCAGCCCTTGGCTGAGACAGTTTATGAGACTTTCCTTGTGTGTTTTTTTTTTTCTCTCTTCTTTAAAAAAAAAATAGTTTTATTTGATTTCAGAGGTGAAAGGAGAGGGAAAGAGAGAGATGGAAACATCAATGATGAGAGACAATCATGGATTGCCTGCCTCCTGCATGCCCCCACCCTGGAGATCGAACCCACAACCTGGGCATGTGCCCTGACCTGGAATCGAACGTGACCTTCTGGTTCATAGGTTGATGCTCAACCACTGAGCCATGCTGGCCAGGCTTTCCTTGATTTTGATGGTCAGATATTTTGTAGACTGTCTTCAACTGGGGTTTGTCTGGTGTTTC